TCGACGATTGGCTATCTTAAAAATGCTGTTATCTCTGAAGTTAATGTGGTTTTAGTCATCAGCCTATTTGGAAGGAAACGGTGTTGTAATAGTTTAGGTTATTCTTCGGAAGGATTTGGATAGTTTGCTTGTGTGAGTCCTGGCGAGAGCTAGGCAGACGGCCCGCCAACCCTCTGGTTCGCCTTAGGGGGAAGTGGGGTCGCCACAGGATAAACTGAAACATAAAAGAAAAGCAATAAATAATTAAACAAGCTACCTGTTTTTCAATGTTTGTGCAAAATAGTACATAACACCATTGCTGTCCATTCGAAATTCTATAGCTCTTAGCTGGTTCTAGAAGCAAAATATAAAGATTAAGTATATTAGATTACGTAGGAGCGGGTAAAGGGTCTAACAAAAATACCATTTCAAAGGGAAATCTTACCTGTTTTTACAAATGCTGATGAAGAGATGTGGGTGATAGTTTGTAACCACTGTTGAATCGATTCAACCGAATACAAATATGGTTCACCTAGCGCACGAAGAATCATAGGATAAGCTTTAAGGAAGGCATTTTTTGGATAGCATACCATGTTTCCCAAGCCTTTCTGTGCAGCAGTGGCTACATGAATCTTTCTGTGATCAAATGTTAAGAGGTAAAATCGTATTTTCTTCTTTAGCTGAACTGATTCCCATTTTTTGAAAGGGTTTTTTGGTCGATACATTTGTAGTGATGGAAAAAGATGATAGGTTGGAGCAAAGGAAAAAAGAAATGTTTTTCGGCAAGAGTATGAATGAAGAGTTGTTCCAGAGCACGTATAAAAAGACGATGAAATATTAGGTAACCCAATTAAATGCAAAGGTAAGAGAACCGCTGAGAACATTAAAGATGAAAGAAGTGAAATACAAGCTTCTTCGAAACACAAATGTACATTAAGCAATAGAGTTGCTCTGCCTATAATAAATGGGCTGAGAGTATATAGGTAGAGAAATAACTGTTAGCCATCATGGTATCATGCTGAGTTGTTACATATTTGCAGTGGGAGACAAGAAAAAATAATAATTGGAAGGCGTGTAAATGTGTAAGAAATCCCCAAAGATTAAAATGTGGCCTCCTTTGCAGCAATTAAGAACGATTGCAGACATATTAGTAAATATCGCACTTACTGTCTGACCCTGTTTTAAGGCTCACCTTCCTCTTTTTATATGGAAGTCTTCTGCTGAGCCGGAGAGGACTTGGCATTATATACAGAAGACAGTGCATATGGTTTAATAGAAAGAATAGTTAAGGGAAACAAAGCCAAGGGACTGTAAATAAGAAAATAAAGGTTTAGAGATTTATGGCAAGACGATGTTCTGCAATAAACAAAAGTGCAGATGCTACTATTTCGCCGTCTGAATGCACTGTCCCAAAACAAAAGAGTAGACATAGTTTACTCAGAACAAAAGCATGCATAAAGGCACATGACCAGCTGGTGCATTGTTTTAGAAGAAAGAGTAAAATAGCATGATCAGACAAGTTTTGTTTTTTTTGCGTCGCGTGGCTTATCATGAGTTTCTTCAACCTGAGAGAATTTTGTATCAAGGCGAACTCTGACCTTTGATGTAGAACCAGGCTCATCTGAATGAAAAATAACTCTAAACCATCAGTAAATGTATTTAATAAAGATCTCATATGAGACAAGCCGTAACAATAATGAATAGACCTGGCGTCAAAGCTCGCCCTGTTGAATTAGGCAGGGCTCCCACTTCTCCGGATTGTTGGAGAGGCAATGTGTTGCCATCACTTTTGAAACAGTAGACAATTGTATAGCGTTGGTGAGATGACCCATCTCTATTATTTACTTGCTTTAACTGGACAATGAACATCTTTGATTGAAGACTATCATGAACCTTTTCCAGCGGTAACTCTATATTCTATAGCAAAAGAAAACAGAATAATAATAAAGTATCTTGATTTCTTATAGCAGTGCATGAACCATTCAACTGATAAATTGTATGGTTGTTATCATCTCGATGCAAGCTAACGAAAGGTACGTGATAGTTTTTCATATATGTATGACCTTCCTCTGATGCTCCATAGCTTCAATTGCAGTGAATGTAAGCAAACTTTCAGCCAAGTCGCCAAAGATCGACGCAGTCAGTGTATCTGTGTCGTCGGTGAGATCGACATCAAAGCGGCATCTATATTAGATAAGAATAAAAGCATCGTTAGTATGGTAATTCATATAGAGATTAAGGAATTTGTGAAAAAATAAATAGCTGAAAGGTAAGATTAGTTTCCTGGGTGAAGCTTTCTGCTTTTCATCACAGTGGTTGCAGGTGTAAGTAGTAGCAAAATTTGCCGATGTCATGCGATGGCATTTGGTACAAGCCATGTAATAGTACTTCTGGAAAATGTGTTGAAAGGATAACTTTGCTTTTACCCATGAGAGCTGAGATATTTTTTAAAAAAATACATTCAAATTTTTGAAAGAGAATGGTTGATAAATAATCTATATAATACACCAAACAATCAGAACAAAAGAGAGCTATAAAAAAAGATATAACCTTTTAAGTGGGAACAACATCAATAAGCGAAGTAATTTTTTGCTGCGACTGATAAAACATTTGAGGGCTACGATTCGAAGTCATTTTATCCTGAACAAGATCAGCTAAGTATTTTTCATGCCTAACAGCCCTACAAAAAATCAGAAAAAAGAGCATACGGGTGTTCAATATAGCGGTGATTAGTTGTAAGATGTAAGAAAAAGAAGTTTAATAGTGAAGTTACAAGTGTTTGAGTTGGCTGGCATCTCTCACTGGTGGATTATCAAGAATGGCTGTGTCTTTTTTAGTTGACAAAGCGATCCCTATTTTGTTGATATTATTAAGTTCAAGACTAACATAACCACAAAGTCCGAAAGAAAAGCTAATAAGCATACTTAGCAACAGTGCCACTAACCATCATACGTGACGACCTTAACCCTGCGACATACGACAACAGGAAACTTATCCTTCTGCTGAAGAATTGCCTTTCCTTCGTTTTCGATGAATTCGTTCTAGAGAGATAGTACAACAGGATTCATTCTATGCATAAGGAGAGTAAAAAAGATAACAGTTATTACTGCAGTAAAAGTTGATGCTGCAACAGGAACAGATATATAATTCATGACAAACAGATTCATTGAAGAAGCCAATGCTTAACTCTTCATTGACAAGCACAAATCTCTGCACCGACGAGTCACCAGAATCCTTATGGACTGGAATGATAGAGGATGCATTAACAACAACGCCAATGACATCTACATTAGGGGAAAGAATTTGTTAAACAACGCTTTTCGAGTTTTATATAAATATAATATAAAGAAAAATGAGCATTGCACTGACCAACAGTTTCATTCGTAGAGTTTGCATAATGGCCAAGATCTTTATATTCTGTAAAAGTGAATCGAAATGGCAACACACCAGAATCATCTTCATCAATTTCTTCAACAACTGTGTCTGTTCCTATAACCCATTGAAGTTTAAGATCATCAATTCGAAACTTTTCAGCAGTATGCCTAACATCTGCATTAGATATCCGATATTTTTTGTATAGCCTCAGCTTTGGACCCATCTTTTCTATGGCATAATTAAAAAGTATCCCCTGAACTCTAGCTCCCTGCAAAAGAGAGATCAGTGTGAAGGATTTAACAAGAAAAAAGAGGAAAGTAAATAAGGAAGAGTTAGGAAAAAAAATCATAAAGTATATAATATATATTAAACACTGGAAAATTTCTATAGCAACTGTCGTTAGTATAATAAGGTTACCTTTGAGTCAGCAAGTATGAACTTTTGGTACTTGGTTGGAGTAGACAATGAAGACCCAATATTCATTTTTTCTTGCACCGTTACTATAGCTGTCCATGATTTCATTCCAGGCTTTATATCATCAATAAACAGAACATCACCCATACTGCATTAAAGAAGAAGCAAATCTATATAAAGGTTAAACCTAAACAAATAACAATAGAAAGTAAATAATAAACGCAGTGAGTGGAATGCAGGCAATATAAAGAATCTTTGCAGGTGAAGCTACAAGTGTGCAAATACCTCAATGCATGTAGTCATTTTTTAGCTAAATCTAGAATTTCCCGGTAAACAACGTTTCGGGTCTTAACCTCAATGACAGCATCATGAAAAGTTGGTGGCATTATCAAAACCGTAACAGCAGTTGCCATCTTAGCGCGAGATAAAGCAACGTATAGTTGGCCATGCGAAAAAATAGGTTTGCGGAGATAGATGCCTACACGATCCAATGTTTGACCTTGCGACTTATTGATGGTCATGGCAAAGCAAAGCTTTGTTGGAAACTGAATACGTTTAAAAGGAATTCCAATCTTCTCAGCATCAGATTTTGCAGTGGAATTCTAGGCAAAACAATTTGTTTGCCTCGATGCTCACTGACTGCAATCTCAGCACAGAGCACATGCTGTTTTAAGCTTCTGCAAATGAGCCTTGTCCCATTACATAATCCTTCTGTAGGATTTAAGTTCCTTAGAAGAATGATAGGAAAGTTTTCTTTCAGGACTAATTTATGGGGAGGCAAACCTTTGGGATTTAAAGAATTCAAGAAGTCTTGGTAGTCCCCTTGATCTCTTTCATTTAGAGTTCTATCAGTGCTCATATAAACATAGGCTTGTCCAGGGAATCAATCAATCATCATCTCATTAATATCATCGACACAGGAGTTTTTTGGCGTAAGAACGCATCTGTTGATCATGCTGTATGGATCTAATGAATAAAGGCAGAGATCGGAGAATACAAAATCCACTAACCTGAGTAGGCAAGAATATGATTAGATGCGTGTGAGTGTATATATATATATATGTATACACAAAATGCACCTATAAGAGCAGTATGCCTTAAGGATAAATTTTTTTTCCTAACCTGTTCAGTGATTCATTCTTGTTATTGTACCGAATTAATAAATGCTCACATAAAGATATTTTCCCATCAAGATCTTCAGGTTCACGGCCTTCACCAACTCTAAAAGAGAATTAACAGGTAGAGTATGGAAGGTCTAAAAGGGCTCGCATATTTTCTGATAAAGAAAGCTTTGTCAGAGTATTCCATAAAAGAGAATTAACAAAGCTAGCTTCGATCTGCTGGTCCCTAGATGCATTTGGTATAACAGGTAGAGTCTGATGAAAATCACCACCAAAAACTACTATTTTACCACCAAAAGGCATATCAGAATCCATCACATCTTTCAGCAATAGATCAAATGCTTCCACAGTATCCTTTTTAGCCATTGAAGCCTCATCCCAAAGGATTAGTTTGGCTAGCGAAATCAGCTTAGCTATAGAGCTCTGCTTGCTGATTTGGCAGGTTCTGCTCGCTGACACATCCAACGGAATCTTGAATCTTGAATGAGCAGTCCTTCCTCCAGGAAGAATAGAAGCAGCAACGCCAGACGATGCAACTGCTATCGCAATATAGCCCTGAGATCTAAGCGTTGCAAGAAGTGAACGATATAAAAACATTTTGCCAGTCCCCCCAGGACCATCAACAAAAAAGCTCTTACTCCCAGAAGAATAAACTTCAGTTAGAATAACATCGTAAGCATGTTTCTGGCCTTCGTTCAATTTCGAAGATAAGAGCAAGTCTTCTTCCGTGAATAGAATGTTTCTCTCACTCTCTATCTCCTTTGTGAGCCGCTCATCACATACAAGAGAAAATCCTTCAGGAACAAGATGGTAGTCACTCACATTCCTTCCCATCTGTTCTAAGATTCTGTTTATATCTTGGAGAGTACGCATTCTTATTTGATCAGAATCGCAATCAGTCAAATGAGAGTTCCTTCTTAAATCCTGGGAAAGCTCACCCTCGAATCTTTCCCAAAGAAGCCTTGGATTGCTGGGGGAGCAATAGACTAAGAGAACTGCAAACAGAGTTCTGAGCGAGAATGGCATTTGAAATGTTGTTGCATCCGTAAGAGCATCCTCTAAGTACGTATCAGATTGGAGAAAACCCATTTCGAAGACAGCCTCTCTATATGATAGAGCAAGCTTACCATTGACAGTCAATAGATCCTCAAATGACGTTGGAGCATGAACATGAGATAGAAGTAATCGAAGATAATAACGTTCTCCCTCAGTTGGGCTAACAGTTACCAATCTGCCAATGACTGACCTCCGTTTCCTCGGAGTCCAGTTTCTTGTTCTGGGAGTCCAGACAAAAAACTCAGGAAAGTCACGGTAAAGGCAATTGAGTTTTTGAGCTATTTTATCGGTCTTATTCATGTGAAAAATTTGTGTAAGCATTGTCTTGCTAAAATCAGCACGGTTCACAACATCAGCAAGGTCAGAATGTTTATGAAATGAAATCATCTGGTGGCCTGGAAGATGTACCTGAAGAGCGTAAACAGAAGGAGTCATTTCATTCAAAGAAAACCTGTATATGCGCCAAAAGGCCTCTGCAGCTGCGACCCATCGTCCGGATTGGAAGTCATTGATTTCATCGATGTTTTCAGCAGCAGCACCAGTATTTATATGAAAACTAATACGGTCATGCCCCTTGTAGACGTATTTGTATAAATATTTGACTAACCTGACTGTTGAACAAATCTCAACATTCATATGGTATTCAAATAATGCAAGAAGATAAGGATTGTACGGTACAACCCAACAGTTGTCAAGTGTTTTATTCCGCACTCTTACAACTCGACCATTTCTCCTCCTTTTATAATGCAGATAGCTATCTTATGTATGGATAGTGTATTCACTGAAATCCTTGGGATAATGATTTCTGCACGTTCCATTTTTCATGCAAACATTATCTTTGTTCAATTGTCCACAAGGACCATGCATCATGTGTTTGATGACAAGTGAATACAGGTATCTTTGCTTATCAGGATTCGGAATCTCAGCAGAAACAATTTTATCGTAAGCCTCAGGATTCAACGGCTTATATTCATGCTTAAGAATCAGCAGCAAGTGAGCATGAGGTAGACCTCTCTTTTGAAACTCAATAACATAAACAAGGGCCTGGACCTCTCCAAAAATCTTTTTCTTTAGTATCTCAGATTTAAGCATTTCGAATTTTGCTCTAAAAACTCTGGACACCAAATCAGGCCTATCCTGTGCATCTTCTCCATACTTTAGATTTTCCTGAATCTCCTTCCAGTTAGTATTACAAGTCATAGTAATAAAAATATCTAGTCTGCCATACTTTTGAACCAAAGCCATAGCATCTATGTAACGCCGTCACATGTCCCTTGGACCTCCAATAAACGAAGCTGGAAGGTACACTCTCCGACCAACCTGGCTTCCTTGCCGCTGACCCACAGATATACTATCTATAACACCCTGTAGAATTTCTGTCCTAACGTCATTCTGTATTTTCCTATGGAAATCAAGCCTAGATATTTCAATTTTTACATAGACATCAACAACAAACTGTTGTAAGAGCCTCCTTGCATGCAATAACATGGAACAATCGTTTTCTCTCATCTGGAGTAAGTAACAATAATACTCTCGGGCAGAAACAGTGCGGCGTTCTTTTCTGCCTTTTTCAGAAGCTACACAAAACACGAACATATAAAATATATATATATTACCTATAGCTTTATAAAGAATTCACTAAAAGGGCAAACCACAGGGCAAGCATATCAGATTAGATAAAACTACCTTCATGTTCCATGCGAATCAAATTTGAGGCAGTTCCTATTGAAGAAGCATCAATTACATTGGCATCATCAGAAGCATCACGTTTTCGTTTTCTTGAGTCACAATTTCTTAGTATCCCATGACGCCAACCACACTTACCGTGAGGAAATAGGAGAGGATACTGCAAAGGATCATAGCAGGAAAAATAGTGATGTATTCGATGGCTAGTGTTTGAGTGTGAATAAACCTGAATTTGTGGACCTTTTTCAAGCGGCTCGCCCTCAGATTCTGTCTAGATTGCAGCAACTTGGGATGAGGTTGGTAGATTATAGACCCTTTGATCTAAGCTAGGATTGGAGTTAAGAACAATCTTGTGATTTTCTAGATCTGCAACGTCCCGCAAGCTCTTAAAGAATCTAGTGTAAGGATTAGACTCAAGAATACGCATTAAGAGCTTCATAGTACTTTCACGAAGCCTAGGGGAATTATGAAGCCTCGTAGATAGCTCTTCCTCTTCATCAAAAAAATATAACTGTATGCCTGTAGGTTGCTTGCCGGAGGAGACTAAGCTATCTAACAAATGATAAACCTGACCTTGAACTCGAAAGGTATAAACTCCATTGGTGTTCTTTGTAAGATCATGGTCATACTTTGCACCAAAAGTAGTGAAGGCGACATTATTGTTATAACTATGGATGTGTTTCCGAAACTCAACACACTCTTTATCTGTACCAGAAAAAAGACGATAAAGACTATAAGGCATGACCGGCACAACAACAGAAACGTCACCAGCCGCGCAATAGAATTTTGGAGGTTCCAAGTGAAATCTCTTTGCTCCACAATGCTGACAGTTTGGAGCATTTGGCAAAGCAATAGAATGTTCAGGGATCTTTTCCAAGCGAGAGTACGCGGTGCGCCTAGTTTTTCTTTTTCTCCCTAGCATGACGGTTAAGCAAAGATTATTTAATAGAGGAGTAAGGAACGAGGTTCGATAGTAAAGACAGTCGCTATAAGCAGACAGAGTAATATTAAGAACGTTCACAAACCTTCTTTAAGAGCATGTGTACTAACAAGGATTTGTACATTGTTCGCAACACCAGATGATTCCGCTCTACCTAAGTCAATAACACAGGTGCCTTCTTCTATAGGAGGAATAGAAAGAGCTAGCAGAAAAGGATGATGAATGCGAGATTGTCACAAGGGTAAGGAAAAAGAGCAGAAAAGAGCAGCAGCCTCCAAAAGTAACGAGGATTGCACCTCGAAAGAGCAACAGAACCAAGCAAAAAGAATAAACAAACATAGTAAATAAGCAGGAACACTGTCAAAGGAATATACCTTCTGACAGTGAAGACACAGCCGGAAGAACCATAGAAGGAGATGGTTCAACAGACGATGATTGCGTGTTAAGCTTAGAAGCCAGCTTGTTTGCGGTAGCATCAAGCATGTCAGCTAACGCATCATCACTGTTGACAAGTACATGGTTATCAGGGGGGAGAGTTCCTGCGGCAGACGTGAAAGCACCTGATTCCTGCAATCCTGCAAACCTTTTGAGGCATGGCGCATGCGTTTGCTTTGCCTACTTTTATATACCTTTTTTTGACGAACGGTAGGAGGAGCAGTATGAGAAGGTACTCGGATATCTTGAGCAAAAGAATCAGAGAGGGAAACAAATGAATCCACCTGTTGTGAAGTAGACAAAGGATCTTTTTGATAGTGCACACATTGCTCTAACTGAGATGCACCGAGAGTGTCAGTAGCAGAAGAATGGCCAGTACATTTTTTTTCCGCGTAGGCATCTCGCCTACGCTGCAACAAGGCATCCTTTTTCCCCTTGTCCATGTTAGCATAACGCATACGGCGAACAGAGTTGCGGTCCATGGAGTTAGGAATCAAGATCTAGCTTATAATAATGTAATAACACAGAACAAGTTTTAGATAAACAAATATAGAATTATCAGCATATAAGGGTGGTATGCGCAATCATAAAGATCATAATAATCACTATACCTGAGATAAAGACACAAACTGGAAGTAAGGACAAGAGCGGGAAGCAGTCAAAAGAAGCTAGACTGCAAAAGAGCAAAGAAGTGAGGAAAAAGGATCACAACAACCGCTAGCACTAAGTCAAAACAATGGTAAAAGAACGGGGGAAAAAGGAAAAAGGATGAATACACAGAGCAAAGCATAAGAGCAGTATACCTGAGGAAAGAGAATAGCAGGATTAAGAACAATGGATTCTGAATAGACAAAGGCTCAGCAACAAAGTAAACGGTGATATACCTTAGAGAAACATGTTATCGAAAGAAACAGAGCAGAGCAAGCGAGAGCTTTTGTATAAAGTCAAAAACAAAGGCCGTGCTGGAAGAAAGTTTACGAAATAGTAGATTGCAGAGTTTTTTTTCTCGTAGACGGCTATCAATATTGCACGAAAACAGAAGCGAACTACAGCTTCTGCATACGTAGGAACGAGAAAAAAACCACAGGACAAACGAGTCTCATGAACAACCTAAACGGTCATATATGCTGGAGGTACCCGGCAGCAAAAGAAACAGAGCAGAGAAAACGAAAGTTTTTTGTATAAAGGCAAAAAAAGAAAGGTGCGCTGAGACAAAGCTAAAAAAGCGGCTGAGTGCTGAGTTTTTTTTTTTTTACCTTACACGGCTATCAATATTGCATGGAAACAGAAAGGAATTGACAGCGGATACAGTGAAAATGATATAACAAGGCACAAGAGCTCAGCAATGTGGCGGAAAAAAAGGCTGGCCCGGTAGAACAGGAGAGTATACAAAAGCAAAGTCAACTTAACAAAGAAATGATATTAACAAAGAAACGGGATCTTATAGGGATAGTCGTGTATCAATTCGGGACAACAGTTTTTTTTTACGAGGGGAAAAAAATAATTAGGTCACTACATGAATCGTCCAAGTAGCAAATTGCATGAATCGTCCAATAAACAACCCAGTTAACAACGGCATTATTGCATTTTGAAGGAAAGCACACTGCCCAAAGAGCAAGAAGGCGCCAGAATCAAGAGTCGCGAACAAAAGCGAAAGTGAGGGAAGCGCATAGAAAAGATCAAAAAAAATGAAGACCTGTTAAATCTTTCTTTTCTTACACACGTACCTACGTTGCATGAAAAGAGCAATGCGGTGCATGGAAATGGAAAGAGCAATGAACGGACAGTGCATGGAGGGAAATCAATCTAATAAGGCCCTAAAAGCTACGTTTGGAGAAAAGACAGCTGGTCAGATACAATTGCAAAGAAGCCCAAAGGGAAATTACCCAAAGCGATAATTTTTTTTGGGGAAAAAGATAAATCGGCGTAGAAAAGTTGTTTTCCTCCAACACAAATAGGCAATTAGAATGATTAGAAAGCTTCTAGTTTTTCTTGTCCCGCTGGACTGAAGCAAATCCATCGCAATAAACAAATTGACATGGCTCATCTTGAACCACGAATTCAAGCTTAATGCGCAAAGGATAATATGGTATTTTGGAGGGCAGGAATATTTTCTTTAAAGACCAAAGTAAAGACCATTGAATACCGATCTTGGGCCACAAAATTCAAGACTAATGCGCAGAGGATAATATGCTATCTTGAAGGGCAGTACTATTTTCTTTTAAAGGCAAAACAAAGACCATTGATTACCCTAACCCTGATAGCAATGATAGCAATGATAGCAATGATACATTTTTTTGTAGTCACCCTAACCCTGATAGCAATGATAATAGGCATAGCATGCATTAAATTTTCGATAGCTCGCCCCTCAATAGATTCATAGTCAACAAATAGGGTCAAGATGATGGGACGCTTCCTACATCAGCGACACAAATAAAAGAAGAAGATCATAAGAGCAACAAAAAAAAGAGCAAGGCAAACAAAAATGTAAACAGAGTAACATGATTACCCCTGGTCAACTATAATAATATCTCTCTCAGGGCGAAGGATTCCTTCCACATAAACGTCCCGTGCA